TTATACGAATTTGTAATTTGCGTTTCAGAACACTTGAAAAGGGCCCAAACCCAGGGCCGAAACGTTGTAATATTCGTTTTTTAAATAAAAACCACTAGCCAGTGTAGGTCGCTTAATTTCATAAAAATTTGTTTTTTAAATATAACATTACGATCCTGTTCAGACTCTGACAATGAGCCCCTTTCATTGTGCCTGATTTTATCATACGAGCCATTGTTAATTATTATATTAAATATAACTGCCAGAGTCTAAGAAATTCTACGTAAATTTAAAAATTGTTATAAAAATCAACATAAAAATGCTAGAGTTGGAACACTTTTGTTAATTTTTGTAATATTCTACGAATAAGCAGATGTTTTAATTCTTTAAGATTTTATTACGGTCGTCAATCAACGTTTCTCGAATTAATTAATCGACGAAGACGCGGATCGTCGAATTCTGCCCACAAGGTAAAACACACACAGGGAGAATTTTCTTTCAAAATTTATCCTGAAAAATTTATAATCGTGGGTCAACGCGACATTTTAAACAATTTTGCGAGAGTTTCTGAAATGTTACTATACATTTCACTAGTATAATTATACATTTCACTAGTAAAATGTATGGTAAGATTTCGAAAAACTCTGACAAAGTTCTTCGAAGTGTCATGTTGCCCCGCGATCACACGATTTTCAGGATAAATTTGAAGTGAAAATTCTCTCCGTGCACCTGGTCTGAAATAAAAGTGCGGCGACGTACGCGCGCGTTACTGAACATCGATATATTTCGAGACAGAGCCGATAGTTCGGATTTTCCCGCCCCTCACCTAATTTATCTCTCTCTCCTCCGTGCAGACATCCGCGAGAGGACGGCCGTCTCTCTGTGTCTCTGTGCGAAAGCGATCCTCTGTATGGGATGCGACAGCGCGGCGCCAGCAGCCCCGCGCGCGCACACGGAGCCCGGGGACTCTCGTCGCTCGATTCCCGCTGCGACGAACGCTTCGAAGAACGCATGCGACCACGCTTGGCCCTCGACTTACGTAAGTCCCGACCGTGCCGTCGCGACACGACCACGAGGTAGGCGCGAAGGGATGCACTTGCAACCCCGCGGCGGCTTCCCAGGAAAGCGGAAACGAGCCTGAGAGTCACCGTTGCGGCTGGCGCGAGATAGTTGATCTTACAAGGCTCAGATGTTTCTGAGCCTGCCTCTTCTCGGAATATAAATGAGATAATTAGGATGAAAGTATGAATGTGTCAATATACACGACGTTATGCTTCATATTGAACGGATTGCTACATTTCTCCTTTTAAAAGAGTCTAAAGTCGTTTCTATTAAATTAAACTGCTGCAAAATAAGCGAGACTTAATCAGCACCTTAGAAATTATCCTTCTCCTGTTTGAATAAAATAATAAAATAATCGTCAAATTGAATAAACTAACTTTTAACTCGGTCCTTTAAGATATAAATCAATTTGAAACATAAACGCCATATTTAGGAATCCTGGCCGAGGTAATATTTTTCGCGATAAGAATTTTCATTCAGTACGGGGAGTAAGGGTTATTGTAATAAATGCTAAGTGTAGCATTTAAAATAATTATCAGATCGTTTAGCGATTTTTATAACACGTGTATTCACCGACGATAACGATTTCACCTGACGAAAATCTGTGTCCGGTAAGTAACGGCGCGCAGGACAGATTGGAAAAAGACGGAATATGGATTCGCTTGGTAATTTAATTGGCCACCTCCACCTGTGCCAGGTCCTAAAAGTGGCGTTTATGTTTGAAATTGTAATAAAGTAGTTGTAATAATTAAAATAAATTTCTGATTGCCGATAAACCGAAAACAGTCCATCGCAAAATAAATTATAACTGAAATTTTGAGTTTAAAACTTTAAGGCCTTTGTCGGCGCCTTACAATTCAAATGCAAATTCGACATTTTTATTTTCATTGAGAAAGTATCCTGCGAAGTAACGATTCGTTACTTTTTGAATGATTGCAAGTGTGACGCGTTACTATTCAGAATTTGGTAACTTGTAACTGTAACTAGTTACACTATTAGTGAAAAAACCTGTAACTGTAACTGGATACTTTTGTAAAGTATACTTTTATAACTTTCCCAACTTCTGTAATTTACTTATACTGTCTACGCGAAAAAGGTTCGCAACGTAAACGATCCATGCAGATGTAATCTTGAAATTTACGACACCAGCCCCGACAACTACGCATACACACGACGTTTATCTCTATAGACACTTGGAAAAAAAGATTGCCTCTTTGTAAAAGGGGGGAAAAAAAAGGATTTGTTCGCGCGTTCGGGAGATTTTTTCCCCTCTTCGATCAAAGTTTCCATCGGGACGTTGTAAAACTTAGCCGACGAAGTCGCTTTATGGGTTACAAGCGTACGTACGCGGAAGTTTAGCGAAGTTTCCGCGTTACTAGAAAACTACCTGTGCGCGCCATTTAGAACGCGCGGAGATGCGAGCGAGATCAACGGGCAGACGCTCGTTCAGCTCCCTTTCCCGGCCGGTCCCAAATAGGATAGGGAGTCGAGTAACTCGGCGCCTACCGGCGCACCGGCGGCGATAGTAAACCTACTCGTCTCTATTACAACTTGATATGCGCGCCGTATACACGTGGTATTCGTATTCGTATTCGCGGTAGCAGATAGCGGCTATCGCGAAGCGGCATCTCGAGCGAAAACTCTCGGGCTTCGGCCGCCCGGTAAGACAAAATGCGGCGACGGTCGTGTTCGCCGACCCTGGACTCAATCATGAATCTTTTCCTCTGGTGTAAACTCGTGAAAAGTGAACCATTTCATTGACGAATATTTCAGTCTTCAGTCAAATGTCTCACTTTTCACGAGCACACACTAGACGAAAAGATTCACGTGATTCGCGGGGATAAAATGTCGCGGAGCGATTTTAAAGAAAATCGAGCCTACTTGTGGCTCATCCGAGTGGAGAAGTTTACTCGGGCATTTCCCAGGTAGCCAGCTGACGTAACTTGTCGTTATTGTGACGTCAAAGTGACATTTCTGACGACATTTCGACGTTAAAATGACAACAAGTGACGTCAGCTGGCTAGTTGGGTTTAATTATCATACTAATTGTAAGTATGGCTTTTGTATGATTTCACTATGACTTTTAACCGTCTTTTTATGTAGACTAGAAACGATAAAACGCGCGCTTCGCGCGCGCTGTTTGTGGTCAAGCATTGTTATATTTTTAAGAATTTGTATACATGCGAAGAAGTAATTGTATGCGCAACGTCAATTTAAATTAAAAAGTAATTTGCCACTCACTGATACGGTTCGCAACAGCAAAGTTGTACATCGCTAACTATACATGTTAAACTGTAACAATACAAAAATGTATACGATTATTATAGACTAATTATGTAAAATCCAGACTATTGTATTAAATATACTTTATATTTTATATTTTTGAAAATGGGTATTTATTAAAATAATTATATAGAATACTGAAAGTCTTCCTTTTAAATATGAACTCACAAAATTTTATACGTATGGTTTTGTCTCTGACACTTATTCGAATACTCGTTGGAATCATTTGAATAAATAAAATAAAAGCACAGAACAGATGATTCATTTTGCACAAGTAGCAAATAACAAAGTAAGACACTTACCTTACGATTTCTCTGCCGTTGCCCGATGCCGCCTAGGCCTGCTCCTCTGAGATTTTCTTGTTGCACTTACACTCACAGCACTAATTCGCGAAAATCGATCACGCGAAATTTCGGACACTCCCGTACGCGATGTAAAATACCGTGAAATGCAGTAAGCGACGTTCTTTACTTCCTGCCCGTTCGAGTTGCGAAGAACGACAGAGCGAATTACAGCGCGAACGCCGAAGTCGCACAAATATGTCTCTCTTCCCGAAAATGGAACAGATTACACGAAATCGATAGATAGTTAAAAGCGCGGTGCGTAAACGAGTAACCGCGACAACGTACCACGGTTTACTTTCATATTTTAAAAGAGTTAGTCTCGTAAAATATCCATGTTCACGTTAATAAAGAGCCGTCGCCTCAACGCGCAATTCGTTTCTCATTACAAGTTGTAGAAACTTAATAATTGATCTAGTAGCATTACTTGTCACTGATGAAGGAGTCCAAATCAATAGCATTTTATCCTTGCATTCTTCACGATCGAGTCTTGGAAACCGACAACGCAAAAATAATACCACGCACGGAGCGACTCGCGCCACCGCTTGCCGGCTCGACGTTCGGCGAGCGAGTGATAAGTACGGAATTTTCCATTACATAGATGGGCCAACGAATTCTCAACGTTTTTTTGTTGTTTTTCACTCGGCGCGGTGACGTACGACGTTTTTGCGTGCCATCGTGTACCTGAAGGTCGCTGCGCTAACTCATCTAAAATATGAAAGTAAACCGTGGTACGTTGTCGCGGTTACATCTCGTTTACGCGCTTTTAACTATCTATCGATTTCGTGTAATCTGTTCCATTTTCGGGGAGAGAAATTTGTGCGACTTCGGCGTTCACGGCGTAATTCGCTCTGTCGTTCTTCGCAATTCGAACGGGCAGGAAGTAAAGAACGTCGCTTACTGCATTTCACGGTATTTTACATCGCGTACGGGAGTGTCCGAAATTTCGCGCGATCGATTTTCGCGAGTTAGTGCTGCGAGTGTAAGCGCAACAAGAAAATCTCAGAGGAGGAGCAGGCCTAGGCGGCATCGGGCAACGGCAGAGAAATCGTAAGGCAAGTGTCTTACATTTTTGTTATTTACTACTTGTGCAAAATGAATCATCTGTTCTGTGCTTTTATTTTATTTATTCAAATGATTCCAACGAGCATTCGAATAAGTGTCAGAGACAAAACCATGCGTATAAAATTTTGTGAGTTCATATTTAAAAGGAAGACTTTCAGTATTCTATATAATTGTTTTAATAAATACCCATTTTTTTAAATATATATAAATAAAATATAAAGTATGTTTAATACAATAGTTTCGATTTTGCACAATTAGTCTATGTATAATAATCGTATACATTTTTGTATGATTACAGTTTAACATAAAAAGTACGAAGATAAGCGCTGTCATCCTTTATCAATTTTTTTGAAGTGTACAGTCCTATTTAATATACCCTGCGATTAGACAATAATTTTCTTTCTTTCTTAACACGCCAAGGTTTGTTATCTTTTTTTTTTGTGCAGTCGCAAGACCGCTCTCATTTATGTGTGACACTGTCGAAACCGCGGTACAGCGGGAGGGCCTTGCAAATGCATAGTGCTGCCATCTAGCGGCGACTACCGCGGACAGCAGTGCTGATAGAAAATGGTGGGGTCACTTACCGACAAGTCGTACTTATCGACGGAGAACAAAATGGCGTTGACAATTCCTGCCGGCAACGCGATACGAATTATGAATTTCCGTCTCCTTTGGCGCCGACTCTCCGCTTCTCTCCATTCCTCGCGTTCTTCCCTGCGGACAAAATGCGAATTAGCGTCTAAATAAATTAGATGATGAGGCGCGAGCTTCATCAGCCTCAGCGTCGGCGAGATACCTCTGAAGAGATCCGCGATCCCGGATAACTTCTCGCCGCCTAACTAACGCGCGTACGATCGCGACCAAGGCACCCGCGCGACGAGCACGGCGCGCGTAGAAATAAGAGCCCACTTTTAGACGATAACGACCGCGAGAGACGCGGGACGCGTCCGAGCGCGATTCCACGCCCGCCATGTTCCAAAACGCGATTCTCCCGGCGCAGTCCCGGCGAGAAGTTGACTCGGCACTGCAAATCCGAGGCGTCGGAGTGTACACTCTTCCTACCCTTCTGTCTCATTCTCCTCTCTCGTTCACTCGAATGCAAACGAACGCTCACTCCAACGCGTCGGATTTGCAATGCCGAGCGCAAACCAACGTCGAATCGACACCGCTGATGTTGACCGAGTTCCTGGAAAACGTTAGACAGAGAGAGAGAGAGAGAGAGAGAGAAAGAGACAGAGAGCGCCGAATGAAACGAGAAACTAACCCGTCCGGATACACGGAGAATCTCAGACGCGCGATACGAAGTGGAATTCGGCGCGCGGTTCATTCGAATGCGGTGCTGTCGACATAAATACCCACACGTACAGTGGCCGAGAGTATTCCCGCGGAGTTCTCGCTCAACGGCCGACGAAGTAGAGAGACCGGCGCGCGGCGGGTCCCGGGGTCGCCGCCGCCGCCGCCGCGCGCGCGCGCGTCCGCGAGATTTCCCGGGCGCGCAAGTCGAATTCGGGGGCGGCGAGCAGCGCCGACTAACGCGCGACGACCACGTACGCCGGAAGCGGTGCGCGCGCAGCCGATCTCCACATCACACTCTTGGGATGGCGCGCGATGCGATCGGCGCGCGGGGCGCCGCTGAGCGAGAGGGCGGCGAGGGGGGGGGGGCTCCGCGAGCGCCGCCGCGGTCGCGCCACGCCGCCGCGCTCTCTGTTCCGCTCCGCTCCGCTCCGCTCCACGCCGCGCCGAGAGGCCGTCCGTCAGCCGTGCAGTGCCGTGCACCACTTGCGTGCGCGCACGTGTGTACGTCGGTGTGTGTGTGTGTGTGTGCATGGGTAGACTTTTTCGGTTTTCGAAGGACGCGCGACGATGGTGCTCTCGCAGGAGGTGCTCTCGAAGGCGGAAGAGTTCGCCGACCAGGTAAAGTCCTCGCGACCCGCTCAGCTGTCAGGGCGACCCGCGGGGCGGGGGTTTCCGTGCGTGCGAGAAACTGGGTCCTGCGAGCGGTCTCCGCTCCTGTCAACGTCATCGCTCCCGGCGCGCGTATTTTTCCGTACCTTCGCACGCGCGCCTCCCCGCCCGCCCCGCCTCATCGCGACCGGGACGGTCGCGCGCGCGCGCGCGCGAGGTTATGAATTCCACAGGTGAACGATATCACCCGCGGCGAAGACACCGCGAGTCGCCGACGAGCGCCTCTTTCTCCCCCACGATCACCCCGTAGATGCGCTCTCTGACACGACAGATTTTCCAGGGGGGGGATCGGGCACTCGATTGCGTGTACGTGGATCGTGACTCTGGATTTCTCGCTGATATAACGCTCTTATCGTCCGTTGTTTTGATATTTCCTTCACGTGGGAAGATAATCGAGCGAGTTTACATTCACGATAACGTCGCGTGCGTATTAACGAGATTGTTACGTTTCACGTTTGAGTAAAGTTTCTGTGCAATGAGGCTGTGCGGTGGACATATGGATCTTGCCGGCCACACTTTCACAGACCTACTTTTCGTACTTGCGCACATATTACGTGTCCAATCGGCAGGTTTCGAATGTACGTAAGGCGGCAGAGCCGCATGAAACAGTAGCGTAAAGCTCGACGGAAGAAAATAGGCTCTATCTAAAGTTCCTAGAGAATCCGCGGCCCCAAAAAAATGTCACTTCTGCCCGGAGCTTCTAAAGGCCTGTATCCACGATGCTAGAACTTGG